CTCAAGTCCAAGATTTGTCCTGGTGTGGTCCTGGCTTAGTCCTGGTTTAGTCCTGGGTCAGTCCTGGTTCAGTCCTGGTTTAGATCTGTTTCAGTCCTGGTTCATTTCTGGTGTAGTCCTAGTTTAGTCCTGGTTTAGTCCTGGTTCAGTTCTGGTTCAGTTCTGCTGTAGTCCTGGTTCAGTCCTGGTTTAGACCTGGTTCATTTCTGGTGAGGTCCTGGTTTAGATCTGGTTCAGTCCTGGTTCATTTCTAGTGTAGTCCTAGTTTAGTCCTGGTTCAGTTCTGGTTCAGTTCTGCTGTAGTCCTGGTTCAGTCCTGGTTTAGACCTGGTTCATTTCTGGTGAGGTCCTGGTGAGGTCCTGGTTTAGATCTGGTTCAGTCCTGGTTCATTTCTAGTGTAGTCCTAGTTTAGTCCTGGTTCAGTTTGGTTCAGTTCTGCTGTAGTCCTGGTTTAGTCCTGGTTTAGTCCTGGTTCAGTCCTGGTTCAGTCCTGGTTCATGTGTTGTAGTCTATGATTTATGTTCTGTAGGTAACTATGAACAGCGTTAATGTTAATAACATGATTCTGCATCATTTTGAGTAAAAAAAAAAACATCAAATATTACAGATTTTTACTGGGCTGGCACATATTAAGATTTTTTATTTTATTACATTTTTTTTAGGTAAGTAGGTGGACAGGATCACATCAATGACCCCATGAACTGCATTCTCCCACTTAAAAAATCTCCACTACACCACTGTTTATGAGAACAGCTTTTCTTATAACTAAAGGGTTGATTCCAGGTTCTATTCCAGCTACTGTACCATTGCATTCTATTACTGTTTACCTTTAAGCAAGACACTTTCTCCACCTCCCCTGTGTTAATGTGCGCTTGGATATTTACCTGTAGTTGGAGAGGCCTTTGTCACAGACTCGCTTCCACATTTACACCAATCCGCCCCGGGCAGTCGTGGCTCCGGGACTTACCAGATCCGTTCCGCGACCTCTCTGAACTTCTCATGTTTGCGTAAATCCTGCTGAGTCTGTCCCGTCTTTCCTCCTGTCACATAAAGTACATAAATAAACCCAGCCGCTCCACATTAAAACTACTGTTCCGTCCTTTCAGGCAGAGGCAGCCATATTTGTCTGAAAACCACAGAATTAGCCGGAGAGGTCTGGTTAGCATCACAGCTAGAACTTCGGCGGTTTACAAGTCCATGCTAATCCTACAGGCTACAGATGTTTTTTTTCCAGTTCCCAGGGCGCGCAGGTCATCAAAATCCGAGCGTAATTGTAAGACTTCCTCATCACCGCTGACTGGTTCTGTCGTTCTCGTTAGCAAAGGTGTTTAGCTCCTTTGCTACGCTACGCTAACCACACCATGTCCTGCACAAGTTCAACGCGCTGGGTGTAAATCAGAGTGGCTACTTGCTAACTGGAGGAAAGTCACGTTTATTGTTGAAAGTTAACTTCTGTTTTTTACCAATTCAGAAGCTGTGTGGATTTGGTTTGTTTGGATATGGACGTAGCAAGGTATTTTAAATGTCGGATATCTAGGCTAGGATATCTGAATTAAAAATCTATGAATGCAGTAAATGTTGTTTTTTTTTTAATATAGGCTTTGTAATAAAAAATATTGTCTTTATACTTGCTGAATCTGACTCTCCTAACTGTCACGTTTACCCAGGTAGACAAAGCTGTATTTCTTACATTTTTAAAGGATGTGTACATAAGATTTTGATGATAAATTCCATAAAGGGACCTAATTGTGACACCAAATAAGAGTTCGACTCGTTCAAGTCAATCTAGCTTTTAGTAGGGGTGTTCTGTTTCGGTACGGGACGTTTGGTTCGGTGCATGGCTGTGCAAGAGAGTTCACGCAATTTGTGTGTGTTTACATTCCACCACTTCATGTGCAGCTACACAGAAGGCTCGGCTCTTTAATATTCACGAGGGAACTGGTTCGTGATTGGGGTGGCAGTGTTTTCCGCAGCGCTTTATAGTTAGGGCGGCTGCTTTTACAACAATTGCCCCCTGCCTTGAACCCCCCTCCGTCTCTTCTAATCGCATGTACCCAGTGCGAACATAACTGAACACTACTATGACATTTAGATGAACAAAACTGGGCCTGGGAAGTTGTAATCGCATCAGTCCAAAACATCTTTCTGGTTTGTGATGTAAGTGTGAAAAGAACCTATAATAAAATTGTGAAATGAGTGCGTAATTAAGGATAATATGACTTTTTTTTTTTTTTATGTTTTGGTCATTTTTAAGCATGCTTTTCTGTATTTTATTTAAATTTTTATGCTTTGCTTTACTGTTGGCAGGGATCAAACTGATCAAAAATAGTAACCAGGGACATTTCTTTTATAAAACTGGGACAAATCACTGGTTTTGGGACAGGAGACACAGGGCTCAAAACTGGGACTGTCCCGGGTAAATAAGGACATCTGGTCACCCTACCATAAACTGAGGGTCAGAAAAACGTACATGTGCACTGGCAACCCAGATTCAGTTGTGATTTTAGTTCAGTTTTTAAAACTGTAAGAGTGCAGGCTTCATACGGTTCTGTTAAGACTGTGTTTAGCAGAATGTGGAAGCCAGGATGTGATCAAGTCATTATGGGTAAAGTCCATGATGTAACTTTGCCGACGAAGGGTCTCCCACTTTTCCCACTGTACGGGATAACAAATATGCACTACAATGCCAAAATAAGACCAGCGATAGGTATATTTTTCTATTTTAGACCCATTTACACAGTAGAAAAAAGTAATTTTGGTGTTTAGTGGCCCTTTAATGCCATACTACAAGGCATTCCAGGCACAGCAATGACATCGCCCTGAAGACAAAGCAATGGTGAATTCTCCACCGAAAGTTACATAGTGCAGCTTGACGATAATGATGAAACTGCTTTCCTGTATGACTGTATTTCTGCAGTTACTTTGCCTACAGTACTAATGTGGATGACTACTTTCACATCATTGAATGTTTAATAGTCCATATCCAGACATACTGTACAGAAGTTGTTGTGTTTTTACTGACGGGTGTGGACAATCGTCTTTGCTGCTGGAAAAACACAATCTGCTAAAGTCTTCAGCATTTAAAATCAAACTTCTCAAGGAAAGAAAGTAGGCGATTGTGGAAGAATTGGGAATAGTCTGTGCGCGATGACATCTGAAAGCTTGAAACAAATCCTATTTTTGATTCACAGAAAGCTCGGAGGGACAGTTCCAGAGCAGAAGAGCAGAGAGATGAAAGAATGGAGTGATGCAGCCAAAAATGAAAAGGTACGGAAGAAAAGAAAGGAAGGGAGGATGGAGAGGTGATGAGAGGAGAGGGAGGAGGTGAGTGTTAGGTTTTGGTTTGAGCTTAACTGTGGAACATAATACACACTATAAAGACAACATTTATTCCATTACCGCTGTTTTTATGGATGGAAAATCCCTTAAAAAACAGGTATAGTTACTGTGAGTGGGCTTGCCTCTCCACAGACCTGACTCGTAGATATCGCTGCTTTGGTTTCAGGTACTATTCATTTAGATAATTCATAAACTTTGTGTCCATTTTGTTTTGATAATCCTCTGCAAACATAAATGTAAAACAAAAAAAAGTTAAAGGGCCAATAGAGGACCTCAGTTCCTAGTGAGCCAGAGTGTTGGAGACATATTTGTTTTGGGGATCTGGTCGAGTTTTGGCTTCATTGTGTGTTGTGCTTCGTGTAGTATACATGGGATAAAGAGAACAGATTAATACCTCACGGCCAGCTCCCGATCGGCATTCGTAGGTCGCAAGAATATCAAACTTGTTTGAAATCCAGTCGCCTCTCGTGAGGGTTTCGCTCTGTTGAAGTAGTTCTACGAGCCGATTTGCCAGAATCTGCCAGACTGCACATGTGCAGATACAGAAGCGGAAAGCAGGATATGAGGTTGTGGAGGTGCGAGCTGGTGAGTGTTTTGGACACAGGACAGGAAGTTTGGTGAAAAACTTGATGCTACTTACCTCAACTTTCTTCTGAAGAACTGAAAACCCATACTGCCCACGTCTGCCCAGCTTGGGCTCTTTTTGAGCTTGTCTGCGTAGAGAATGGCACAAATTGTCATGGCAGCGTGTCAGTTTTTTGCCTGGATCAGTACTGTGTCTCCGCACACCTGTGGTTTTCTAATTCCATGGTTTTCTTCTTCGTGGTTTTCTACTTCCAGAACAACAACTCTGGTCATTATGTGAACGTACAGTGTGCGCAGGCAGGTCGCATCCGCGCATTGGTTCATATTGTGTGAGAACATGATTCGTGAGGTGTGAACTTTTAAACCCTGCGATTTGGTAGTACAGTTTAAGCTGGGGCTGAGAGACATGACTGAAAATATTGCACAGTGTACGCCCGGCATAAGTCATTTTAATGGAATTGTAATATGTTAAAATGACAAATTTGCACATATTTGATGTCAGAACTTTGATAGATTTTGTTGGTAACATATATTATTTAGTATTTGAGTTAACTAGGGCTATGTCTGTATGTCCGCCTTGGTCCCTAAACCCCTCATTCACTACACTGAGATCACCACTTTCACGTCACGTGACTCTGACAGCTTGGCGAAAAAAAAATTTTCGGTAATAAATAATGATCAAATTTGAGTGGCACACGAAACAGTTTTAATGCATCTCCTCAAGAGCAGTGGTCCCAGGACTAAAGGATCTTACCTGGTGCATGTTTGGAGTCTGAGCAAGTTTCACTGCAGGAGGCCTCTGAAAACCCAGGACACACTGGTCTGCTCTGGTCTGGTCTGGTGACGCCTTGAAGTCCATTTAAAGGAGCTTGAGGAAGTGTCTGGGGAGAGGTGCGCCTGAGAGTATTTGCAGATGAATGGATTATAATGTTTATCTTCCTCGATCAGGATAATACATTCAGAAAAGTACATTTCTAAATGAAAAAGTAACACAAAGTCACATCAATAATAAAGACACAGAGATGATTTTCATAGACTTTTTATTACTAAACTCGTCATAAATAAACGGGGCTGCACTTTACACTGTGTTCCCCACTCGCAGCTATAAAAACAGACTTGGAACAGTCTGAATAAGTCACTAAGACAACAGTACAAAAACTTACATCGTCTACAGAGACAAACTATCACTGCTTATGCCCACAGGAAAACCCCAACATAGCAGTCATTTAAAAGTACACTGTGTAACATTTGTGGTGGAGGGTGTGCCGCCTGCTTGTTTCCATGGAGATGTTATAGCTTTGCCTGGAATGTTGCACAGTATGGCACTAAACGTATCAATCTACATGGAGACAAGCTGGTCTAAAAACATCTGTCGTTTATTAGAGATAAGTTTTAAGCTGTATTGTCAAAACTCTACCAAAAAAGTTACACAGTGCAGCTTTAATTCGCACACATTCAACATGTTCCAAAGTACAGACTACATACACACTGGCCGTATAGAGCTGTTAAAACATTGTGGTGTAGAGGGCAGGATTGTCTCTGGTGAAGCTGGCACAGTATCTATGGCTAAAACGCGTTACCCCGGCAACACAGACATAAGAGTGTGCTGTGTGTGTGTATGCGTGTGTGTGTGTGTGTGTGTGTGTGTGAAACCTCAACAAGATGACAGTGAGTTTGGAAAAAGCTTGTAACAAAACTCCTTGTACGTTTCAAGTCAAAGTGGCTTAACAATCTGGACAGGGAAACGCACACATGTTGAAAGATGGACTAGTGTCTCCAATTCCAAGATCATAATATAAATCAAAAGAGTAATTCAATATGTAAAAATATAAATTTGGGCAGTTAGTATTAGACATGGCAAGTTTGGAAGTCTCAATGGCAAATGACAAATAAAAAACTGAATGAAAAGTTTTAGGGAACTTGATTACAGATTACACGTTTTGGTAATTTAAAGACAGCAAAACAATTCATATTGTAGTAGGTTTTGTTGTTTTGCCACAAATGTATTTAAAGATGCACAAAGGTTACGTTCACACTGCAGCCTGAAGTGATCCAAATCTGATTTTTTCGCCCCTACACGACCTGTATCTGATCTTTTAATGACTGAACGACACACATCCGATTTTTTCAAATGTGGCCCAGGCCACTTGGATATGTGCTCCTAAAACCGATACATATCCGATCTTTTGACATGCGACTTCAGTCTGAACGGACAGGTCACATTCATCCCACCTACACGTCAGGCTCGGAGTCAAGTCAATGGAGGGAAAGTGAGGTTTGTGAGTTCATTAATATTTGGGGGGATCACTGTATTTAGGCCAGGTTATCAGAACCGGGCAGTTTTTGAAATGACTTGCCAAAGAAAAGTCTGAACGCAGCTACAAGTGGTCCTGGTTTCAATGTCAACAAAACATAAAGAGCCTGTGAGCCAAATACAAGGAGACTAAAGACTCAAACAAATGAAATGATCATGGACGTGTAACCTCTCCATTTTACGAAGAACTGGACCGTATTTTGGGAAACAAGCCCAGCGTTTAGGCGACTTCCATAAACACTGAGCCTGCTCGCTGCGTGTGACGTCGTTGTGTCCTCCAATGCGCATGTGGAACATTTTTGGGACGTTTAAAGTTCACACTGGAAATCACAAACAAGTCGCATTTAATTGGAAATGTGAACGACCTTGCCAAAAAATCGTATTTCACAAAAAAATCCGAACTGAGCATTAAGCCCTGCAGTCTGAACATAGCCTAAGAAACTATCCAGTTGGGGGTCTGTCATCTTCTTGTTTCCATGAATACGTCATTGCTGTGCTTGAAATGTTCCACAGTATAGCATTAAACAGCTCTACTTTACATTTAGTCAATTACAGGTGGTTTTATTGCTCCAAAACACCAGAAAACTTGGTCTGGTTTGCTCTTCATGAAGATAGAAAGGTTTAATCTCATACTGTGAAGTATTCTAGACAAAGTATCTCCATGGAGACAAGCAGGTGACAAACAAACCACCAGAAAAGTTGCAGAATGCACCTTTAAAGGCCCTGTAACCAATTATTTCAGCAAAATTTGTTTTGCCCCAAAACAGATATATTGTATAAACCAAAATAGTACGTGCTATCATCTAATTAGAAAACATTGCATTGTCCGTTAATCATAAATGCGCAGTAGGATGCTAGTTGTTATTATCTTTATTTTCCTCTTTTCTTATAACAATGGCCCAATAAACCGAGACCTGTTTTTGCCTTATACACAGAACATAAGTTGGTTTCCTGCTTTTCATTTCGGGCATCATGTAGCAAAAAATTTAAATAAATTGTGCTTCACTTTGCAGTCTGTAGCAGGTGCTCCCCACGCAAAACCAAAAACTCAATCCAATCTGACCGAAAACACACTATTTCTGCCCTGACGGGGGGAATTATCCGAATAACAACTGGCTGTTTTGGTTCGGCTGGCACTTCCCGCTCTACAACAACAACCAGACTGTACCCAGAGTCCTTCAGCCTGACCCAGGATCGGAGCCCGGGACGCGGGGAGGCCGGTGTGGGTGTCTGGCCTGAATTCACCCGGAACAATTTGGCCGAAGCGGGTTATTCTTGGAGGAGAGGAGGAGGAGAGAGGGACCTTTCTGACGTCCCGTGTCCAGGACGGTGTGGGCAGCTTGGGGCCTGGTTTGGGGTAAGAGGAGGGAGAGGATGGAGGATGGAGGGGGGAAGAGGCCAGTCAGCAGAAACTTGTGTGGGGGGAGGAGGCGGGGCATCCAGGGGCCAGAGCGTGCGGTTCCAGCCGGGACTATTACCGGAGCTTGTGTCTGGGAGGAAGTGGTTTTGCTGCTATTGATATGAGGCCTGCAGTGTGGAGCGCTACAGTACATGAGAGTCAGAGAGTGTACGGACCATAGACTGTATATAGAAATGGACACAGCTGCCGCGTTCCAAACAGGAAGTGAGCATGGATGTACTTCTGGCTCCATCGACTCTGGCTTCAATTGACTTAACATGGAAAATGTGTCGTTGCTCTCGATGTAACTGCTGCAGTGAGTCTCGTCATTTTGGTCTTGAAATGTTTGTATTAACCCGCACTACATGATCTGGGTGTTTTTATTTTGCTATTTTATTTGTAAATTCACTCCTATCCCCTATGAGCTTCATTTTGGGTGACGTCACACTCCCTTAGTCCACTTTTTTATACAGTTTCTAGTCACGATAATAAGTATTTTTGGCTACGTTCAGACTGCAGCCTGAAGTGACCCAAATCCGATTTTTACACCCCGATGCAACCTGTATCTGTCTGAACGACACAGATCTGATTTTTTTTTCAAATGCGAGCCAGGCCACTTGGATGGTGCTCCTCAAACCGATACATATCCGATCTTTTGACATGCGACTTCAGTCTGAACGGTCAGGTCGCGTTCATCCCACCTACATGTCAGGCTCGGCATCTAGTCAATGGAGGTTAGCGAGTTCATTAATATTTGGGGGGATCACTGAATTCAGGTCAGATTGGAGTGGTCTTATCGGAACTAGGCGGTTTTTGAAATGATTGCCTATGAAATGTCTGAGCGCAGCTACAGGCGGTCCTTGCTCCAATATCAACGAAAAATAAAGAGCCTGCGAGCCAAATACAAGGAGGCTGAAGACTCAAACAAATGAAGCGGCCGTGGATGTGTAACCTGTTCATTTTGCAAAGAACTGGACTGTATTTTGAGAGATGAGCCCACCGTTTAGGCGACTTCCCTAAACACTGAGCACATTTGCTGCGTGTGACATTGTTGTGTCCTCCAGTGCACATATGGGAAACTTTTGGGGGTGTTTAAAGTTCACACTGGAGATCACGTACAAATCGCATTTAATTGGAAATGTGAATGACCTCGCAAAAAAATCTGATTTCACAAAAAATCTGAATTGAGCATTATGCCCTGCAGTCTGAACATAGTCTTTGGCTTAAGGCCGTCACACGCTACAGGAGAATATGCCCGATTTAAAAGTAAAAGGGTGAGAGTAGTTCTTCACGTGTCTGTTTACAGACACTATGTCGATAGAATAATTTTAGAAGTAAACCCAATCTTGCATTTGAAGGATTTATGTCTGAGCAGCAGCGAGTTATTATTTCCGATAGAAAGCTCAGCAACAGTGGACTGATATATGAGAAAATAGTCCCTCAACATGCGACGATTCATGCTATGCAAGGTTAGGTTATTTCAAACATTATTCTATCGACACAGACATTTACATTGACAGTCCGGTGTAATAATAGATTTGCTTCAGGTGTTTTGTGGAGTGGGTAAAACTGTTTTTAGTGGCAGGATAACTATGGCCATTGACATGCACTAGCCTAGCACAAGTAACGTCTTCAAATACAAGGACTGGATGGAATATTTTAAAAAGTGTCTCCTCACATCTCCATCACTCTGGCTAACTAGGAAATGAGGTCCTATGTCCAAACTCCCAGACTGTTCCTTTCTGTGAAATGTTATAAGGAAATTAATAACATCTTCTGTAGCATCTTTAACTCTTTCCCCCCTGGACGCCTACTAGGAACAACCCATACATATGTTACTAGGATTACCCATAGAGCATAATTGCATAAAAGAAAACAGACTTCCACGAGTGATTTCAGAGCAATTTTGGTTCATAATCGAGTATAAAGCCTGGATAGTTTGTTCAGATATCGCAGGACTCCATACAGACGCATCAGCGGCATTCTCATCTTCATAAGATTCACTCTCTCTAAGTCCGTCGCTATCGCTGTTTTCCACTTTATAATCACCCTCATCATCACTTTGAAATCTATAAAAGTCACTTTCTCTAAACTTATCCATAAAATACGTCCGCTCCTCATTATTTCTAAAACTGTGCGCCGCAGCGCGATCTTTCCATTGCACGTGTTTCGTGTTGTGTTTTTTCCTGAAGCTACAATCGTCACTATTTCGATTAACTTCGGAAAAAAACGGCGAAAACATATCCTTGAATCCTATTGGTCAGCCTAGTGTGGGTTGTAGTGGCCTCCACCTATCGCAGTCTCTGTTTAAATGTGAAAAACCGAGCCATTTCTAAAGGTCGTCAAATCACGTCTTTAGTGATACAGCGGAGGTGTCAAAAGTCGTCATTAAGGGTACAGGGGGGGTCGTCAAAGGTCGTCTTCATGGGGGAAAGTGTTAACCAACTCAGGTCATCTAGTATGAAGTGGCTACCTTCAAGTACTGGTATTTTTTTACTGTAAACTCTTTCCAGTCTAATCTAAACAGTGGAATGAATCTGTGTATTTGTATGAGTGTGTATGCAGACAGCTTATTGCACACTTCCTATCATACACCCTCTGCTTCTGCTTTCTTCTCCTTGACTTTGGATGAGGAGGACTTTTTGGACACCTTCTTATCTCCTGCCTCTTTGCTCGTCTCTTTGCTCGCCTCCTTGCTCGCCTCCTTTGCTTCCTTCTCCCTGTCCTTCTCTTTCTTCTCCTTGGTCGACGACAGTTCCTTTTTTTTGGCCTCCTTCTTGGCCTCCTCTTTAGGTTCCTTACTGGGTTCCTTCTTCTCTTTAGCCGGCTCTTTCTTCTCCTTTTTGACCTCCTCGGCCGGGTTCGCGTCCGCCTTCTTTTCGCTGGGTTCTTTATCTGAAAGAGAGAGGGCAGATAGAGTGGAGATGAGCAGGAGAGCTTGGATGGTCTGGTTGGATGAGGTGCTATCGAGACACTTGGGATAAGGAGAAGAACAGCTAAGGGCCACTACTGTAGATGTCATGTGACCTCTGTGTACAGATATAGTAGCTGGAGACACTGTAAAAATGAGCACAAAGTAAACCCAAGACAGTACAAGAACAGTGGTGGAATGGAACAAAGTAAAACTAGTAAAGTGCTCTACTTAAGTATACATTTTTAGGTATCTATACTTTTACAGTGGGTCCTTTTTACTTTTACTTCACTACATTCGAAAGCCAGTATCTGTACTTTCTACTCCACTTCCTTTTAGGACAAGAGTGAAAAGTAAAAGTATTTTTAATTATAGTTTGAGACTTTCTGTAAAGACTGCTGAGAGTTTATCTATAACAGGTTTATATTTTCAATCAGAAATATACAAATAAAAACTATAAATTCAATTCTACATTTGAAGCTTTATTAGATGTCAAAATCTGTGTGAAGTACTTTTAGTTTTTACTCTTTAAGTACTTTTACAACCACTTTTACTCAAATAGATTTTTTTCATGTTATACTTTTACTTTTACTTGAGTATTTCTTTGCTCCACTATTTATATCTTTACTAAAGTAACAAAATTGAGCACTTCTTCCACGACTGACAATGAATATCGAAATAATACTCTTGTTTAGGGTATTTCCTACAAGCTTGTATAATGCACTTGTATAATGCACTTTGATGTGGCACCTTTTAATATTTTAGCTGTTTAATATTGGTATTGTTAATCTTAATTTTAGCATGTTTATTTCACAGTCTGTAATGAGGCAATTATTTGTTTATGTGGTGTTTTTAAATGACCCGTGGTGCAGTTTGAGCTTCTGCACATGTTTTTCCAATGTGGTTTTGAACTACAAATGGCAAATAAACTAACCTAACCTATTTGACTAGATTAGATATTTGGATACATGTTAAAGGAACGGTAAGATTTGGATTTTTAATTCCATAAACATGACCTACCTGTGTCCCCAGATATGAGGCAAACAGGTTCAGATCCAACATAGTGTAGCTTTTACTGATAACAGTTCTATTGCTGATTTACTCTTAATTACAAAAACACTGGACAAGATTGTTTGTTGTTGTAATTTGATGTTGTGGTTCTCAAAATGATCCAATCAGAAAGCAGACTGAGCCTCACATGAGTCTCTCATGTGGGTTGCCAGTTTCAACGCTGAAATCCAGTTGGTTTGAACCTAAAATGTCTCTCTCTGATCTGAATAGTCACCACCTAAACTCTAACACATGCAGCCAGTCATGAGTCAGTGCTAGTGCAGCCTCTGCAGCTCAGTATCTCACATAAGACATGGCCTGTCCTTACACTGAGAATGATTAGTTTTACTTTGTAATTTTATGTATTTTAGTGCATGTGGGTGAGACACTGCATGTGACTGTCTGGGTTGTTTGGTTGTGTGAGGTTGGGCAGCGGTGGGGGTTGGTTGGGTGGAAGGAAATGTGGGATTGTTTTTAATCACTGTAAAGCACTTTGTCTTTCTGTATGAAAAGCGCTTTATGAATAAAGTTTGATTAATTGGTTGATTGAATGAGAAAAGCTTATGTCCTCTATCTGTAGGTTAAGGCATTATTAACCCAGGGACATAGTTCCATTTTAAAACCACAAGAGCACTGGGTATACACAGTTCCTTTAATTCATTTGTTTCAGTTGTTTCAATTTGCCAATGGGGCAAGAAAAGTGTCAACTAAAAATGTTTTAATAAAGTTTTGCAACCCCTTTGAATCTACACTCTCCTACTGAATAAATTGTACGAGCTGAAAAAACTTGTGTTTTATGCCATACTATGGAATATTCTAGTGCAGGGGTGTCAAACTCAAAGTCACAGAGGGCCAAAATTAAAACCTGGGAATGTCTCTATAGTTTAGCTGTAGCTGGCGGCCCAGCTATAATACATATTTGATATGATCTCGCGGGCCAAATACAATTATATCGCGGGCCAAATTTGGCTCCCGGGCCTGAGTTTGACATGTCTGTACTAGTCAAAGGAACAACAAAAAAAACAGGATGATATATTTCTATGGGGTTTTTTTTCTGTGCAATTAACACAACCATATTTTAAAAGTTCAAACTACAACCCAATAAAAACACTTTCCCAACACATATAAATTCAACTATTACAAATATTCTGCATTTAAACTTTCCTGAAGTGAGCAGAGACAGTGAGGCCTCAGAAACTCAAACTCAACTCAGCCACCCACAGAATACACACCGCAGGTAATTACAAAAGCGAATAAAGCCAAACTACTCCAGGTATGTTTTGAACAATATCTTGCACAGCCCTATTACAGGAACCCAGTTTAGCAAACAGAATAACTACATTTGAACACAACATAATTACAATTTCACGTTTGTTCTATTTTACTACAGAAAAACATCAAAATCCAATATTGTCATCCCAGTGCCATTTGACTTTACTTTAAGACTCTAAATATATCTTGGACAAGCCTAAACCAAAACATGAAAGGCAGAGAGGCAGAGTCTTCTACAATCACAACACGGTGGACAATATTTGAAGAATTCCAGCTATTTGCATTGTAGACAACAGCATTATGGTAAATTGTGTTGACGTAAAGGAGGCGTGCTTGTTTTTATAATTACGATGTTTATTCAAGCTCACAGTTGAAGGAGCAGTCATTTTCTGCGATTTGACGTGATTTGGGTAATGCCGTAAAATATGAAAAAACATTCTTCAATTTGACAAGGCAAAATATACTCCAGGTTGTATTTTTGTGTACACGTCTTTTGGAGATGTTGGAAATCACAGGCTGTAATTGAACGGTCTTTGAATGAAATTACAGGTGTTTGTTTTCACTAAATGGGGTCCTGGCAGAAATGTATGTCAGATTTAAGCACAGGCATCAAAGAGAGTGCCTACTTTGAATGAACAAAAACATATTAACTCTACTTTCTTTTTTTTTCTTTTCTTTTTTTAAATCTTTTTTAAATATATGAATTGTTTTTGTTTAATGGATTACCTCTATTTTTTCCATTATTAACTGTACTATGTATTACAACTTCAGCTACAAGTGCTCAGATCATTTGAATGGTCAACCATATAACAGGAAGCTGGAATTCATGAAAAGGGGATGAAATAAGAAAACGATTTGGAAGCAGACACTGCTCTTGTGTCTGCTATACAGGGGTGTAGTGGGTGTGGTATGTGCGGGTACGCCGTCCACCCACTTCTCCCAACGTGAGATATAAAAGAATAACATAACATAAAATAGCTACAACTTAAATGTCAAACCAGAGCAATTGGCAGTGGTAAAAACAACCTGCATAGGCTCCTGATATCTGCAGTACTGTCCTATAGTGACCTGAGACATGAGGGACCAGGACTGAACCAGGACTAAAACAGGTCTAAACCAGAACTGAACCAGGACTGAGTGTCGGGACATGTAGATTGTCAGGTGACTGCAGGAGAAAGGAAAAGCACAGAGCTCCGCGCCCCAACGGGCTAAACGCAGCCGTCGTCTGTTCGTGCTTTGCGGACACCCTGCTCCATAGGCTCAGGGTTCTCTCTCTCGCTCTCTCAAGAAAAGGATTAGTCCTGGTTTAGTCTTGGTTAAGACCTGGTTCAGTCCTTGTTCAGTTCTAGTTTAGTCCTGGTTTAGTCCTGGTTTAATCCTGGTTCAGTCCTGGTTTAAACCTGGTTCTGTCCTTGTTCAGTTCTGGCTTAGACCTGGTTTATTCCTGGTCTAGTCCTGGTTCAGTCCTGGCTTAGTCCTGATTTAGTCCTGGTTTAGTCCTGGCTTTGTCCTGGTTCAGTCCTGGTTCATGTGTTGTAGTCTATGATTTATAGGTGATTATGAACGGCATTAATGTTAACTTGATTCTACATCATTTTGAGCAAAAAAACCCATCAAATATTAATGAGATTTACTGGGCTGGCACATTTATGTTTGTATGGAAAGTGAGATTTTAAATAAACCAACAATCTCTCATGTCACGAATCATCCCCACTACACCACTTCTGCTATATAATTATAATCTATGATACCCATGGCTCGATATGATATAATTTGACCATTTTAAATCACAGTATTGATCTAAAATGACTTAATAAAATAAAACAATTCCAATGACTTCCAGGTTGAAAAATTGCAGGGCCCAACGGGATCTGACATCACCGTACACGTCATCACATCACTGCCAGACCAGGCCTTGCAGATCACAGTAGCGAGCAGCAAATTTCTATTTTTATTTGGGCGATCGGCGATTAAGAAAATAAAATTGAACAACGAAGTAAGTACAGAGAGTGTGTACCAGTGGCAGTGAAAGGTGTGCATTGGTAAAGATAACTCAAACATATTGAATCACACTAAATACACCTTCAAGAGGGTAAATGAGAAGGAAACAACTTTAACATGATTACTACTTAAGTGCTGAAAAGTTGACTTGGGATAATTGGTCTCCTTTAAAAGATCTTCTAAACATACATTTTCATTTGGCTCGATTGCGTATTACCATTTATATTTCTGTTGTTTTTATATTTTAGTGTGACGTGTGAGCTAATGTGTTCAAATAATTTCCCTTGTGGATCAATAAAGTTTAGTCTAAGTCTGCCACTATAACTGCTTCTACTTCTACTTCTATTCTTTTTCATGGCCATAGACAATACCCCGAATATTTACGTTACTGTTCGTACATAAATGAGGTCTGCATTGTGCATTGCCTTGGGTGGATCCAAGCAGTAGTGATGCCATTGTTTTTGGCAGCAAGATATAAACAGAATGTCTTGTGAATGAGGATTAATGTCACAAACAGCTCTACATTTAAGAGTGAAGTAGGCTCCTAATGATCAGGCATGACACGGGCACCTGTTACATGACAAAAGACCCCCTCCCCTCTCCCTCCTGGCCCCTCCCCCTTCATATCATCCCTGCTGTGTGATGCTTTGATAACCCACTG